ACTAATTTTGTAGTTTAAAAATTAATATTCTTATTCGAACCGAATTTTTATTTTGTCGGACTTAGATTTTCAACATTCACGAGTGGGGGGGCTCAACAGATACCAACCATTCAGTCCATTCACTCTTTGAACATCCATTAACGGCATTTCAGTAAGGCAATGCCAAACAGACTGTGGCAGAGGGGCCATAACAGTGGCAACAGCAACGTGACAACCGAAAAAGAAACTGTGACATAAACATAAAATTTTATGTTAATGGCCGATGATGAAAAGTCCAACAATGCAGGCAACGCCACTGGTACTGGCACTGGCACCGGCTGTGGCAAATAAATAATTACCATAAACAGCAGGCAGTTGAATGGGAGGTGTCCAGTGAGAAGGAGGAGCCGCCCTGGATTGTGTGGGATTCACAGGTTTATGCAGTTAATGTCATTGAGTATTTATCAAATGAATATCCGCTACCCTGGTGTAGGAGATTTTGTTTGCCTCTGGGGCTCTGGTTGGATGGAGGCCTGTGTAATTGCTCCGACTCCACATCGATGTTAATTCAAATTTACGTTAATGGAAAATCATTACGCACAAATGTGTAAAGTGCACTTTGGCCTCCTGTACGGTCGCCGGTTGCCGGTTGCCTGTTACCTTTTTAATGCGTTTTCCTTGATTCGGCCAAATGAGACTGAAGTTTTGCTTGCCGAGAGCACACGGTTTTTAATGAGCTGCAAGTGCAATCTGCTCCACCGACAGGCACTGATAAGCTGCCAAAGGCTGAAGGATTTATTTATGATTAAAGAGGAAACGGAAACACTTCTGTGTTTAAACCTGGTCTTTGCCACTGTTGAAGATGGCTATCTATTCGGCAGATCCTTGGAAGATATCATCTAAAGCCAGGGAACTCTTTAGGGGCTTACTAGCTCCGCAAGTAACTAACTCCGACTCACGTCGAGCAAATGAAAAAGCGGAAAACCACCGAAATAGTTAACTTAACTTATAAAATTTTACAGCACCAAAGCGTTTCCCGTCAGGTCTTAAAGGTTTTACTAGCTAAGCCACCCGAGAGGATTTGGGATTGGCCCTGCTGCACCTTTTCCTTTAGCTGGCATTTCTTGTGGCTTATGCCATTTAATATGCATTTTGTGTTATATTTAATATGCAGACAGACAGACCTTTAGTTGGAGACGAGCAGACGAGCTGGAAGAAGCCAACTCAAATTGCAGCTCTCTTTGCCAGTCTTTGCCTTAATGGGCCCAAGTTGCTTTTGGGAATAGCAGACGAAAGACGTCGACGTCCGTGTCGGAGATGTGTCGATGGTGTCGAAGGAAACGCTCCATTTTGGCATATCACTTTGGGGCATTGTTACATGGGAATTTGGCTCTGTTCGTCTTGTCTTGTTTTGGGCTCATTAGGCACGGAGCCGGCACCAGGTTGGCACATCAAATTGCTTGCAAATTGCCTCGAAATTGGTCCCCCAGTATACTGAGTTCCATACCGACAAACGGACTTTAATGAAGCAATCGAATGCCACTACCCTTTCCACTGCTCCCATCGCAATAACCCTTCTACTTTAAGAAGGCAAAAAACGCCCTTAATCAGCACACAGCGGGCAGTTTGGCACAAGAAACGAAAGAATAAGGAACAAACTACCCCAAGCATAACTCTATTGTCCTAGGTCATTCAACCTTCAGTGCCGCGTAACCTCAAACTCATTCCACGGAAGCGCGAAACCGTCGAAACGCAGTCGCAATCTCGAAAACGCATGCGAAATGCCATTTTCTGCGTTTCTTTTCTATTTTTATGCATGGTAATCAATGAGTCAAATTGGGTATATTGGTTTTATGAGTGGATGCAGGCAACAGGTAGAAGATAATGGATCAGGGTACAGAAAAGGTGTAGCCACATGGGAAAAAAGAGAAGAAAAATATATAGGTAGAAGGCTAGAATTATTCTAATGAAAAGATATTCCAATGAAAAATATGTGAAGTCGATGTTTTTAATATCCATTCCGTTTTGGTGTTTGTTTTGTTGGTGTTGAAACCCAGGACATTGCGCGGTTCAACCGACTACTGGGTAAACCTTAGTCCCTTAGCCTTCCAAAACATCGTTCCAGTGTTTGTTTGTTTTTTTTTTATATTCGCGACGCGATGCAGCATAAAATGAGCAGAAGAAATACGGTTAAGAGGATGCTTTTTCTCTTGCAGCATAAAATCAAATGTTGGGAGAGACGTAGAACGAGAAGTGCCAGGCAGCAGGGAGATGTGGAGTAAGCATAAAATATATTTTTATGTCACGTTTTTAATGACATTTGTTGCATTTTTGCACTTGGACGTGGTAACCCTGGAGAGCTCTTCCGCTCTCGCCCTCAGCGTAGGCGTCTAACCGAATGTGTGAAGAAGAAAGGAAGAAGAAAAAAAACTATACACACTGTATAAAGCAAAATAAGGCGCCCAGGTCTGCGGCAAGAAAAAGTTGCTGCATCGAAGCTTCGAAAAGGCAGTCCTCGGCCTCCGGCAAAAAGTCGGCTGCAGAGTCGAGCAACAGGCTGTCAGTTTGACAGGCAATCGTTGATTGCAAAAGCGGCACTGACAGCTGTCATTTGCACGGACCCTGGCACGCTTTTAGACGGAACAAAGAAAGCAAGAGAGAAAGCCGGAGAAAAACACACATTGACAGCAAGGTGCAATGGCACGGCACGGCAAAATAAAGTTGCTAATAGGCTTCTCCGTCCATTAACATGGGGCAAAAAGCCGTAAAGGGTTGACGTTAAAGGGAAAATGGGGAAAGTTCAAGAGCGTTTACCAGTAAAAGGAACAGTGGAACGAATGGGAATGGAATGGATTTGTCTTATGCGTTAATTGGGAACCATTGGGAAAATGAAATAGTGATAAGCTGTAAAGAAATACTTTAGTGAAATGAGGAGATATTAAAGGAAATATTAGAAATTATGGGTATGATGGAGTAATAAAGAATTTCTTACAGGAGAATAAATAAATGAAAAGTGGAATAAAATACAAATAAAATTAAATTAAAAGCGAAAAGCATTCCATCATTCATGCGGAAGGGAATCATGCTTCCTTCCTTCCTCCATCAATTATCATCCGTCATTATCTACTGAAGTTTGACGAGAGCCCCGCCAGGGCTGACAAGTTGTCAATAGTTTGGGGAATGGCATAGAATGTCCCGGCTAATTAGCAGCAATTGAAAAATCAAATTGCCATCGCTTCAAATTGTCCTCAAGCTGACCCGAGCACTGTTTCCCGTCTGTCTGTCTTGGTGACGCCTACGAAAATGGCTTTACGCCTCAGTGGATATCTCAAGCCCCATGGACTCGTCAATCCTGTCCCAGGACCCAGGACCATTGTCCGGTTCGGCACTTGAGTTGTGCTTTCTGCTCTATTGGCTGCCATTTGCGGCACGCTTCGATGCATTCGGGCTGCGACCGCAGCAGTCTTCGAGGACAGGACTGTGATTTCCATGAAGTACTTGGGTCTGGGTCGGGGCTGATGTAATTAGGTTTGAAAATTTGCTGATTGTTGATTTGTTGTGCGAGTATTTGCGGTACGGAAGGGCAGAAACAGCAGCAGTAGCACAGCAAACTCCAATTATATGCGCCAATTGTCAGTTTTGGTTACTCCTCGTTAACTTATTTGATTATGGGCTAATTTCGTTGACTGGCAGAGTCAAACTGGGGGAACAGGAACAATGGGAGATTGAGCCTGGAATGGGCTCGGCTCCAGTGTGGATTGTCATCAGCAAAATATTGTAGAAATGCAATCCTTTCATCAGAGCAAAATTAAATTTAAGAAGGTTTTTTTGCGGACGGAAATATCTTACGGAAAATCTAAAGCTAAATAAGCAAAAGTAATTTAACTTTTCCCATTTTCTGCTGCTGCTCAACTCTCTTATCGACTGGGGACCAGGACGGACCGAAACCAGAACGATTTGATGAAGTGCACCACCATGTGCACACCAAATGCACACATGTGTGGGGCCGCATATTGACAGACTCCCAAAAATGAAAACTATGCAAATAAGGAAGGATACGTCTGACAAGTCCAGAGTACCCACAAACCCATTCCCATACATTACTCCGTCTCCGTCTGGGTTTGGGTTTGGGTTTCTCTTCATTTATCTTGGCTTATTAAATTGAATATATTGCTGAAAATATATATATATGGAGAAATACATATATTTATTTTAGCCTGCTGGCATCATCATTGTTGTGTGTGCGTCCCTTTTGGTCCTTTTAAATGCAAATTAGCTTTTTGACTTTTTGATGCGCCCATATCGCCCCAGACTCGATTTAGATTTATGCGGCTTGATAAATTGTGGCTACACTTAATGTGCGCATACGGTGTGACATGTCCTTTTCATGTCACTCGCCGAAAAAGTTGCCAAACTCCCGACTGCCGACTACCGATCTCCACCACTCCATTCCCCAAAACTCTGCTTCGAGTCCTTGTCGTCGGGGTTTCCATTCGAGTTGACATGTCGAGTGGTTTTGTTGGGGTCTGCTCTGGTCTCTGGCTGTGTGTGTGGCCGTGCCTTTTACTTGCTGACATTTTTGCACGCTTGACAAAAACAGCGTAACCATTTTTCTGACTGCCATTGCCATTGCCACTGTCACTGACTTTGGCTCTGGCTTTGACTCTGTTTTGCTGGTAACGATGCTTTTTGTGGTCCGGCTTTGTAATTAGTTTTGCTCGGCGAGGTGAGTCTCGATCTCACAAACGTTAGATGAGGAGAAATGTCTTTAAATTAAAACTCAATATGGAAATGAAAAAAATGAATTTTTGCTTATTTAATATTTACTTATAAACAATTTAAATTTTTTGAAAATGTTCTTTTAATTTTTTTATATTAAAATTAATTCAATCTATTAATAAAATAAGTGAAAAATTTAATTAGGGCTGTTCCCTAAATAGACGCTGTTCTGTAATTACCACTGGACTGTTGACTTGACTTTCCGCATTTCTGGGACATATCGATATAATTAATCGATAAAGTGCATACGTACATACATGCTCTCCGCTGTCTCTGCGAGGACGTCTTCATATCTCTGCATCAAAATGATTTTAAAATTGCCTATTGAGATCCTTGATAAAGTGTTCGGTTACCTGAAAAATAAAGACCAGCTAACATTGGCACAAGTCAACCAACAGCTTGGCTGTGCATTTGCATACCACGCTCGAGGAAAATACCGGCGACTTAACTTCGGACAATTTACAACTGAAAGTGATCTGAAAGTTATTTTGGACCTTTGCGGATCCACTGTTGTCCAAATTGAAGTACCAAACAATTTCGTGAAAAGTGATAATGTAATGAATGTAATTTTCAAACTTATAGCCAAGCACTGTGTTAACCTGGCATCGGCCTGCGTTTTTATTACGTCTTTCAATTTCAACGCATGCAAACATTTGCTGGCAATGAAATGCCTAAAAACTATTAAGATAGTTTTCAACCAATCGAATTATCCAGAAACGGATATCTTTCAGTACATAAATCCCGACTGTAAAGTATTGACAGTAGAAAACATTTCGAAACGTCAGGGTAAGCCTTTGAACAGATTCAACAGCAATAATTTTTTTCTTTAAATATGCTATAAATCTTTTCAGCTGCGAATATACGAAAACTGATTAACTTGGAAGAATTGACAGTTCGTCGGTCCAATCCGGATTTGCGAAATGTTTTTCAAATCGGTTCCAATTTGAATAAACTCCGGGTCCTTTGTCTTCACGATTGTACACATGACCCAGCATTTCAATTACACGATATTGAATATCATCAGTTGGAAGAATTAGAGTTTAATATAGGCAACATTTACACAGCCTTCCCAAAGTGTCCAAATCTCAAATTGATAACTATACTTTATACAGGGGTCGCTAGTCATATTTTTAACGTCATTGCAAGTTACGGAAGCACACTGGAGCATCTGATAATAAACTATTATGACTTTTTTCGCCCTAAATTTACTGGAACACAATTAATAAATGTACTCAGAAAGTGTGAAAGATTGAAATGTCTGGGTGCTTCTACTGATCTTATAGCGGATCTATTCACCGAATCTCTGCAGTATTTTATTGCCTTATTAAAGGAAAATGGATTTAATAAGGAAAGTCGTTTTTTAATAAATGCAAGCGGACCCTATGATTGTAAAAAATTTTGCGAATGTGTAAGTGCTTCCTATAAAGTAATATTTTACCGGAATTTAAACTTTTTTTTTTGTTTTTTGTAGAAGAAACAAATTGCAAACTCCGAAGTGTGGAACCTAATTACACTTGATGAGAAACTTTTTTAAATGTGTAAAAAAGTATTGTACTTTGCACAATTTCACAAATGTATAAAATTTACCTATTGAGATAATAAAAATGGTAAAATTAATGGGGTTTTAATTCAGTTTTATTTATATATTAACATGTGTAGATCACATTTCAACACTTTTGATATCGCTGATTTTACGAATATGCATAATTACTGACTGAAAAATCAAAATTAAGGAACAAATACCACCATAGAAACGCCTTCATTGAGACAAAAAATAAAAATGAATTTCACAATGAAAATCTATTTACTTTGTAAAAATATTAATTAGTTATGGGAATTAGTTACATCTCCTGAATAATTGAAAAAAAACTCTTGCTAATGGTAGGAAACTTGTTAAAAGATTTAGCACTACTAATAATAATGCTCTTGATCTTGTTGGGATTCTTTTTTAAATACAAATTAAATTTCAAGTCGCCATTATCCCTTATTTCTATTCATTAATTCGCTTATCAAGTTTTAAGAATATCATATTAAATGAAAATAAAAACAATTTGGTATCTTGCACTTCGTCACTTTATTACCACTTATTTTAAATACAAATTTGCATGCTTTATATTTGTTTTCCGCTGTGAAACTCCTACCTCTTGTCATTAAGCGTACTTGAGGGGGCATAAATAATTCTTTTTTAATTTGATACGCATGTCCATAAGTCACCTCTTCCTATTGCCCTGCCGTACTCCTCTTCAACCGACGAGGCAGGCAATCTACATTAACAAAGCAAACAAAACTACTCAAGCGTCAACAAAAATATGTCATTTAGAAAATTATGAAATATCAACAGAGAGTAGAGGCGGGCGGCCCCAGAAGAAACACTTAGCAGTAAATGAAAAATTATATGGTGTGTGTTTGTGTGTGTGTGTGGATAGCTGAGGATGACTTCGGGGTAGGAAGAGCCCACAAACAATATATGTATGTATGGGAAAAAACAAGGAAAAACGAGCCAAGCAAACACATGAGCAGGCCATAAATTAGCCCGCATACTGGCATCAGGTGGAAGCGGCCGGCGGTACGGCTCGGCTCTGCTATGATTGAGGCACGAGTAGTAGTAGTTTGGGGTAAAAAAGTGCTCAAGGCGGCTGTGGGGACGGGTGTGCGGATGCGTCAGCTGTAGCACAAGAAACTAGAAACTAAATGTGTAAGGAGGGGGAGGTGTACTCTAAACGTGGCGATGCGATGAGGTGGCTTGTTGTCAGGCTATAAAACAAAGTGCTGTCTACAAATAATTTGACTTATTCGTGCAGAACAAATCGTACGTCATTTGTTGGGATACTAAAAAGTTCAGAATGGAATTCTCTCTTACTCTCTCTCTCTCTGTCTGAACCATTGCGCAATTAATGTTTCTGCACAGCGAGAATTATGTGCGTGACTGTCACAGCCAGACAAGACGGAGACGCTCTGTATCTATCCTCCACGCGATATGGATAGAGCCATAAATGTTGACTTCAATTTCCAATTGTTTGACGAGTCTTCCAAAAAGCATTTTACGGCCTTACACATGTGCTACCCCCCACACACTCCCACTTCCACTGCCCATGTACATATGTATAGCGATTGCCGTTGACAGGCTGAATTTTATGATGATGTGTTCGCTTTTCGCCAAAATTAAATCATAAATTTTGTAATTAATTTGCATATATGCATGCATTTCCATTCGCTCCTCCCAGGAGGGAACATTTAATCATTCCAAATTGGCATCATGGCTCAATTTTAATGACGCCGCATAAAGCGGGTAAAACTCAAATGGAAATTACATTTGTATACGGCCTCAAAACTAATGAGGCGACCGACTCCCAGCATTGCATACAGAGATTATATGAGAAGATCATTAAAATTAGAGACATAACTCAAACTTATGCATTGGTATTTTAATTGCTGTCTGCGGGCATAGTTTAAGGGAGCAGCATAGTGGCAGAGCAGGACTTTATGTTATGATTTGTGGTGTAAATATTTTGGAGGTATTTAATAGGAGAACAGCAGGAAATTCCAACGATCCTAAAGGTTACAAAACGGGGTTTCTATCTCCAGATAGGAGGCTCTTCTTAAAATCTATCACCTGGTGCCTGGTTCGCAAACCCTTGACGCTCTTTACCATGGACAGGGCACGTCAAAAGTCACTTCAGACTGCTGGAGCTGGGAGCTGGTTTTATTGTTATTCATTAATTTTAATGTTGGCACAACCTGCAGGTTGTGGGCGAGAATTGAATTGAATTTGAAGTGCTGCAAAGAGTGCCACCCAGAGTGACTGGGAGTCTGGGCCGGGCCGCATGCGATAACACCCAAAAGCGGTAGAGAGCCCGAGAGCCAATGAGGCTAAGTGCGGCTATGAACCCTTTTCGCATTTGGGAAGCTCAAACATAACAAAGGACCAACACGGAGTTGGCTCTGGTACGTAGTGAGTCCTGAAACATTTGCGTAATGAAACGAGGAGGATGACTGGGCAAGGAGAGTTCAATAAACCTGGCACACATGATCAGGAAAAGGACACACAAAATAGCAATAATCCAACGAAATTGATGCGCAACAAACATGCAAAAGGAAATAGACAATAGACGATTGTGTGTATGTGGCAATTAAAATTCATGAAAAAGGTATGGGTTATTATTAGAACTAATGCTCTGCAGGGACATACATCCCTCGGCCAGTATTCGAGGTACAGTTGCGTTGTCGTGGAGCTGCCGAGAAGCAGCACCTGAACATATGTCATCGCAGCATTGAGTTGTCATCCCGCAAACACCCCACTACCAATACCTGTATCAATGTCCAACCCAGATACAGATACACACCCCCACAACCACCAACCACATCACATCCATATCCAGGGCAGAGCCCAAAGAGCACCCGAAGAACATATGTGCGTGAGGGAGGGCAGGGCGTTAAATTTGTCCGATCCGAACCCAAAAACGCAAGCATGTAATTTGTTATCCAACAATTTATAATTGCATCAACAGACAGCACACGCACATGCCCAACACGGAGAGATGACTGACTTTGAGACTCGGAATTATATTATGAAGCTAAACATGGTTTTTATTTTTCTATATTTGGACAGACTCTGCCTCCCCCTCTCTGTGTCTGTGTGGCAACTGTCCGATACAATTTTATGCTATGCTTAACATTTTGTACATTTTTCGGTTTTTGGTTTTGGGTTTCTGTGGTTCCTCTCGTCTTGCCTTTAATTTAATTTTCCTTTGTGGGCGAAGGGGAAAGTTTGTAGTTGATTTATGAATTTTTAAATCAATTTGACAAGTTACTTTTAGGTAGGGGTTATTGGGTTGTGCTTTCTATATATAAAAATATTGCTCTTATTTATCATTGTTAATGGTATTTCCGATTTTTCAATAATAGTCGAATCAAGCAAAAAAAAAAGCACTATAGAATATAAAAACCAATTTCCGTTTATACGAATATATTCCCATCACAAAATTATTTAAAATTTTGGCGCACATTTTTGATAGCCATGGAAAATTGTTAATAAAAAATAAACATCCCTCCCCACACGTACATAATTCCTCATAGTTTTGGCCATGCACTTCAACTAAGACGCTACTTAAAAAAAAAACTGTTTGATGGCATAACACAAAAAGAGATCAAAATACAAGTATCAAAATGATTCCAAGGCGTGACGAAACATGCTGAAATGTAACAAACAACTTGTGCTACCCGCCGCCGTCCTGATCGACAGCAACTTGTGCGGAAATCCCGTGTACAGGGGCACGTACGGGGAGTCGAGTCGGATGCATGTTGCCGTTGCCTCTGGTTGGGGCGGTACACACGTTTTTCTACTCGTCGGGCGTCGCTCTTTTGACAACTCAAGTGACGTATTACTCAATGGGTCTCGTCTCTCTCTGGCTTTGGTTATGCCTGACAAAAACTTCACCCACCCCTCCATCAGCCAGCAGCCAGCACCCGCAACGGGAACGTCGTCATCCATCTCGGAAAAAATCACAGTTGCAGTGGCGGGGAAGTTTAAAATGTCGAAATGGATTAGTTGATGGAACGTTGGTCAGAAATTTCATGGGAAAGTGTTATAATTTAAATGGGAAAGGCATTGTAATTGATTTCTCTTGATTCTCGCCGTAAATTTATTTCTGTAGAATGAGAAAATGATGTGAACAGGCGGCGGGGACTGGTTGTAGGATTGGGCGAAATCTTTGTGAAATTTAAGGTATACATAGGTCGAGACATTAATTCAAGCGTATTCTTTTATACATTTAATATTTTAAATCATCTAATAGAAAATTATTAATTGTAATTAGGTTCCACACTTCGTAGTTTGCTGCTTCAATATTCTACAATAAAAATGGTTTCAATTTAAGTAAACTATTATCACCTCAAAGCAAACACTTACCATGGCCCGAATGCTTTGGAAACTATATAAATTTATTTCAAAGCGTCTCTCCTCATTAAACCCATTTTCCTTTAATATGGCAATAAAATCCAGAGAATCTAATAAAATATTCTCTATAAGATCCAAAGAAGAACTAAGACACTTCAACTTTTTACACACTCTGAGTATATTTAGGAAATGTTTTTCAGTAGGTTCGTTTACAAACGTGCTCCTAGCAGAATAGAATAACATCAGATGCTCCAGTGTGCTTGGGTATAATGCAATGGTGTCACCAAAGTCCCAACGTGGATCAAAATGACTATTGAACAAATTCAAAATTTTGAGCTTCGGACACTTTGGCAAGGGTGTCAGAATATGGCAATTATCAAATTTTAATACTTCCAACTCTGGACATTCAAAAAATTTTTCTTTGTTCTCAGCTGAAAAAATAGATAGCATACATATCTAAGGAAAATTATTGTTGAATCTGTTAAAAGTCTTACCCTGATTGTCCGAATAATAGTTTTCCTCAATCAATATACAGCCCTGTACACAAAAGCGAAGACAAAGGACGCAAAGTTTTTTCAAATCGGATACGATGTGAAAAATATTTTGGAAGCTGTCATAGAATTCACAAACTCTCAATTCTTCCAAGTTAATCAGTTGTCGAAGATTCTCAGCTGAAAAAATAGATAGCCTACATATCTAAGGAAAATTATTGTTGAATCTGTTAAAAGTCTTACCCTGATAGACCGAAATGTTTTCCACACTCAATACTTTACAGTCAGGATTAATGTATTGAATAAGATCCGATTCTTCATAATCCGGAATTTTGAAATCTAACGTAATAGTTTTCAGCCCTTTCATGGCTAGCACGTATTTGCTTGCGTTGAAAGTTAAAGGCGTAATATTAACGCTGGCAGTTTCCAGGTTAACACAGTGCTTCGCTATTAGCTTGAAAATTACATCCATTGCATTTCCCTCGAATCCTATTTCTACGTCAATAACAGTGGATCCGCACAATTCCAAAATAACTTTCAAATTACCATAAGTTTTAAATTGTGAGAATGAAATTTTCCTGTATTTTCCTCGAGCGTGGTATGCAAATGCACGTCCAAGCTGTTGGTTGACTTGGCCCAAATTCAGCTGGTCATCTTCATCTAGATACCCGAGAACTTTATCTAGAATCTCAAGTGGTAATATTGAAAACATTTTGAATCAGATATAAGAACACGTTCTAGCAGAGATGAGCTCGAAACAGGAAAGAGCGTTTACGTACATATGCATCAGGGATGGATATTAAGAGCTTGTGCGATTAATTTTACCGATTAATTATATTGATTTGAAACTAGAGATGCATAAATGGTACATTACTGAACAGCAGGAATTTACTGAACATCCAGCTGCGTATTATTTGTATTTATATTTTCATTTACTTAAATGCCAAATTTGTAAATTAATTTAATGCCAGCATGCAGACATACACATTCAAATAAATAATAAGTAAATGATGGATATGCTGGGCATAACTCATAAAAGTTTTACAAGCATTCAAAATGTGAGGCGCAGGCCCATTAAAATCCATTTTTAAACAACGCTTCCAGGCCGGTGCAGTGCAGTACACAGATCTCACAGCACCGTTCCATTCCGGAAGGATAAAGCGCGCTTTACGCTTCGTTTGATTTATAGGCGCAGGGTTAACGGTTAGCCTGGATGAATGAATAAAAGGCGTGGGGCAGATCGGAACGGAGCGGGAAAGGGACAGGGACTTATGCATATGTGTCTTACACTTGTTATCGGGCACATCACATTCAGAACCCACACCCAGGACACCGTGTCGGCGTTGCTCTTTATGTGTTTATTTTAATTTTCAATGTTTCGTCGTCGGACCTCTTTTATGGCTCTCAATTTTTGCGCTTGTTTTACGAGCGCATTAAAATTAAGACCAGACCAGACTAGACAGACAGAAACAGGAACAAACTCAATTAGATAACGAGATGGGGGTCTGAGTCTCCTTTTGGGCGCTGTAAAATTCACTTGGCTTCACACACACTCACCGAGATGGAGATCCGATCCGATCCACCCACCCACCGACCCATTCCGCTATAAAGACTACAACACACACACATTTTTGGAAGCGTGTTAATTTCTTTTTAATTCCTCCTTTGCACTCGGCCCAGTGAAAGTGGCAGTGGACGGGGGTCTTTCTTCGTCTTTCTCTCCGCCTGTGTGTCTGTCTCTGCTCCACTCATAAATTAACGTTTAGCTACGGTACATAAAAATCTGTCCGAAACAAGTCCCAAGTCTGAGTTCGGAGTGCGAGTGGCGTCCATGTCAATGGGGCTGTATTTTTGAAGAAGGTAGAGCGCCATACTTTCGTTTGATTTTGTATTGAAACCAAAATTGGAATTATTTCTAGTGCAAAAGGAAGAGAGTGGATTAAGGAGAAATTAAAAAATGTTATAGAAATTAAAAACTAATAAAAAAGAATTAGAATATGATTAAAATATAATTGAATTATCTATATATGTCGTATGTTTGTTCCTGAACAAAATTCACTGACGATGCTCATTTATCAGTCCTTCTGCAACTGCATCTAAAATTCTTTCAGGATAAGCGATTAATTCTAGGATATATATATAATTTTATTGTTTTGTTATGATACTCGTTGAAGTACCACATAATACGCTTAAGAGTTTTCCCCTAACCTTCTTCACATACCTCCTCACTCCTTCACTCCCCACTCGCTGCACAAACCCAACTCAATATAAGTACCATCGAAACACCAAAAAGATTTATATTTCTTTTCACTCTCTGCATTCATTAGCCCCCTTGGCAGCACTGTCTGTCACTGGGCATCATTAGTTTTATTTAATTATGCCTTTGATATTGATTGCTTTGTTAGAACATATTAACCCCCCTCCTTGCTCATCGGTTTGGGTCTGATTTCCTACGCCTATGGAAAGTTCAATTAAAGTATTCTCTACCCCTCCGAAAAGTACGTATCACCCCCACCCATAAAGATGATTCCAGCTGTGATTGCGTTAACCTAACCGCAAAACCGAAAATCCAAAAAAAAAAAAAACAGAAAAGAAATATATTTGATAATGAATAATGATGTTGATTTGACACTTGAATCGAAATCGTCACGCTTATGGCCAGAGGCTGGGAGTCGCGCTGTGTAGGCAGCTCATCTGCGGCTACTTGGGTAGAGATCATTCAGTATGCCAGCAATTTGATATTAATTTAATTAGATTTCCAGAGCCACAGATGATCATGGTACTCCCTCCGATGAGTATTGTATGATAATTTAATGGAGCATGAAATGCTCATGTACTGCTCTGCTCTCGCCTTGGCCTCTTTTTCAATCTCTTGATACGATTTCACAGCGTTGCAAAGTGGCCGCTAATGATGGGAATCCTTTGGCCACTACGGGCACTGCACTGGGTTGTGTGTGGTCAAATGGTTTCCTAATAGCCGTGACAAAGGTCATTAGATCGCTAGAGTGAATTATTCCAGCAGGGAACGATTTCTTTTAGACCGATATGGAGCCTGAAAAGTGTTTAAATTATTTTAGAAATAATATCTAAGAAATAATATGCAATAATATCCGCAATCCTTGAATGCTTTATTCAAATACGATGAAAAATCAAAGCATCTTTTAGTAGCAATGGAATACACAAATGAAATCTCATTAACCCCGAGCACACACACATTGAATTATTTAGGGTACTACTCTGCGTATCTTAAGATTGGGCATAATTTATAAACTTGTCTGCATCTCGTGTCGACATTCATCAACTTTTTTGGTTGCTAGCAACTTCATTAAAATTAGCTCATAAAATTTGCAGCAAGTTTCTGCTCTCTCTCTCTTTCTCGTTTGCGCCCGAAATCTTGTTTAGTTTTCATTTATGGCTCAATGCTCAAACCCAAAAATCTTTGCCGAAACGGGACAGGACAGACGATGTGCATCCTTTTCAGCATCATCCTGACAGACGCACTTCAGCATAATTTGCTGTGACAGACTTCAGCGTTTCCTGGGAGCTGCTGCCTGCGTTTCCTTAATTCCACTTTACCGAATGACATTTAATATGCAAAGTTTTGCCAGCCAGAACTGGCACTGGAGCCGCCTCCAGCCTCGCCTTGTGCATATCTTTTGATGACTTTTGTTGATTTTATGCCAACACATTTTGCGGTAAGACACACGACACTCGAATGGAGCTCTGTGCAGCAACCAGAAACAAGTAACCATGTGTAGTCGGGCAGGCCCCTGTTGCAGTTTGGCACTTGGCGAAACAATGGACCCACCCGAAACATCAAAACACCCAAAACAAGTGGCGGGCATTTGCCCGGAATGTCTACGGGAATACCCTTTATTACAAAATAGCCTGGGCATAGCTTTGCATACTCGTACTTTACGGGTATTCGCCTGCCGTCACCCCCCCCAAAAGATCGTAAACTTTAATGACGCCATTCTGGAGGGGTTTGCGCCAGTCGCGCAAAGTTGTTGCCTTTTGAAATATGAATAGACCATAGACAAGCAGCAGCAGCAGCAGCAGCCGAACTCCCTAATACTCGTCTTGTTAAGGAGATTAGTTCTCCAGCCTCTTTGTCGACTCGGGACTCGTGGCGGCCCATCAATAAAATCGGTTTACTCAAGTTTTCTGGCCACTTTTCAATCGGCATAATTGCCAATGGGTTGGTATCTGTCTTCCTTCCCATCCACCGAGCACCAAGCACGTACACAAATTTAAGCTCGTAAAATTTAATATTTTTCGCCGAAAGTTTCTGATGTTTTTTTTTTTCTGCTCTTCGTTAGGTGAGAGTATTAGTAATTTATTACTGAGATGGCTTAGGCTTCTGCATAATTTGTAAATATATATAAATCCTTGTAAAGAAATCATAAAATTTTACAACAGTTGAGTGGAACTTGCTTTTGTTTGGCTTTTTTGTAATGACAAATTATGGTGGGATTTTAGAGGAGCTAAAAAGCTATACCGAGGCTCAGAGGTTTCAGAGGATGTGCACAGAATGTAGCAACTACCATAAAGTATAGATATATATTTTTCTAACTTAAAAAAATAAATATAAAACACTGCGGTAGGAGTTTATTAATCGTTTACATTATTTATAATTCAAAATTAAAATTATTATTGTTCTCCAATGTACATATTAATGCTTAAATTTGTATTTGAAAGTATAAAATAACAGCAAATTAATTTTCCATTTCATTTCAGCTATTTCCATTTGACCAAGCGCTACAAAAATTGGTGAGTAGAGATATTTTATTTTACACTTTAAATTTTATTTGAGGTTACTGTTCTTAAAAATTATAGATTCAATTCGTTAAACGAATCTGGTCTGATTTAATTCATCAACTTAATTTAAGCTACCATAACATATTTCTCTGAAGGCTGTGAGCATAGCATTTTTTGGGTTGGGAATGGCCAACTGTGGCGCATTCCTATAGCCACAGAAATAAGCTTGTAAGAAGTATATATGTACTCGTATGCTTACGTACTTTTTATCAGACTTTCCAGACATGTCCGTCTCTTTCTATGCCCACTAATCTGTTCGTTTTCTTCATTATCTCAACGGTAGCGCCGTTCAATATTTGATCCTCCAACATTTGTGCCCGTTTAGGGCAGACGATTATCTTTAGATTTTTCTTATTCGGTAAACAAACTCCCTAAGCATAACCCGCCTCATTTTCCCATAACAAAACGTTTCGTATTGTGTGTATGCTTTGTGTTCGGTTCTCAGACGGTGGTAAGTGCCAATCAAACCGAAAAATATTTATAAATTTGACAAAAGAAAAAGTTCCCCAAGTTAAATTGCGTGCGAGCCGAGCCTAACCAATGATGATGGAGATGAAGGTTTTACCTACCAGCATAAAAATGCTGACGATTTATGCCCAGGGGAGAATGTGAATGTGAACGGGCTCAAGGTAGAGAGGCCTCAAAAGAGTTGAAAACAATCCATCAAACGAAAACGCTGCGCTTTTGATAAGAGCGCATCAATAAAGTAATAAAATGTCTACAAATCAAACCGATAAGAAAAAGGAGTTTTGCCAAAAGATTCGCCTCGGAAGGCGAACGGACCGGGCACCAGGGGAAAAAGTCACGTACAGCACGCACTCCGTTCTGGGACGGACTATTAATATTAATGGTTCGGTGTCGCGGTCGGGGCTGGGGCTGGAGTTGGGTCTAACGCACTGGGCGTTGCACTTCGTCGTCTTTGGGGTGCTGTCTGTCAAGAAAGCTGTCTACTTCTCGCTACCCCTGAGGAGCTGTTCCTTTTGCCACACAAATTGACATGTGACACCGGGCGAGACCAGAGACAGGAGAGAGAGATGGAGAGACCCCTGTCAAAGGGTTGCCGTAGCCCCCTTCCCCGCTCCCTGTGTGTTTGTGTGGCATGACGAAAAATAACAATCGAATCGGATCGTTGTGTGGTTGTGATTGGAAATCATTAACATTCTGATAACTGTCGGGCCACTGTGATCCATTAGTTATCTGCAACAACGCGGTAAGCTGTGAGGCCTTTAATTGATCTCGTGCTCTCTGCTACTGCCCCAGCCCCTGCGGTTTTATGTTAATGAAGCATCATCCCAATCCGATTTCGTTACGGTTTCAGTTTTGTTTCTCCCCCCGTTTTGTTTTCCCATTTTTCATGCTTGCTTTTCAATTGGCTTTCCATTATGTTTGCCTGATTTGCTCTCGCTGCGGTTTTGTCTGCTGTTTGGTGATTTTATAATTATCAAATTAATTAATAATTGATTTCAGTATCACCAATGGAAGAGCTGCTGAAGCAGAAGATATAAATACATTTCATCCTTAGTATTATTTCCTTAAAATCCCATCTTAAAGCCCTATGACGGCGCAATAAACCTAGAGTCCAGTCGAAGTCCTCTCCTAGGACAACACATAACTTGTCGATTCCTAATTTGTTGACGAACGAACCCCACAGGACCCTCCCACCAATCTATGCCGACACATTTCCGTTCTGACCAAATTCTGTGTGCGGTGATTGACTTTGATTTTCTCATTGGGGTTGGGATGTCAGTTCAGCCCTTGGACAAGTGAAAATGAATTTTCCAACAACGCAAAAGCCTAGAAAAAAAACCTTTGAATAATGAAGGAAAAATGTCTTATAAAAACTAACGATTGGCAATTGGTTTTTACTATTATTTTCCTGGCACTTCCTTCCGCTCTGGTTAGAACCGATGGGCGTGTCGCCAGCCCCAATCCCACTCACCCAACGTCTTCGTTCAATGTGAAATATGTTAAGCCGATGCTGAGTTTGTTTGTTGCGTCCCCATTGTCTTTGGGATTAATTTCCTTCCAGTGTCGTGCTCTTGCAGGAAAATCATAAAATTTTATTTGTACAACTTCCTCGGATTTCGCTTCCTTTTGTATTTCAATTTAATTTTTTTGCTATCCACGTGAACTTTGGTGGGTATATTTGGGGTATGCTGGGATTATTTGGTTGTTGGTCACAAAAAATATTATCAATGTTAATAAATTGTTACAATTTACATTTACAAATGTTACAATTTTTTTTAACGCTCTAGTCACTGAAAATAAATATATAATATTAAAGAATTAAAAGTATTAAAAAAGTTGAATATTATTGAAAAATGATAAAACGTTAATAAACAATTAATTTAATCAACAAAGTGTTACATGCATATGTTGTATGTTCATACGTATTTTTATTTGTTTTCATATTTTTTTCTTTTGAATTTATGAACTTATTTTAATTGCCATTTTTCTTTGTAACTTATCTGAAAGATTGTGTGCGGTTAAGTGTTCGTGCTTATTTTTAAAAGGAATACATTGTTTTTTTTTTATACTTTTTTACCTTAAAATGAATTAGGTTCCACATTTCTGAGTTTTCGATTTGATTATTCTAAAATACAAATGGATTAAATTTCGGTAAATTATCACTTTGTCGCAAGCACTTACCCATTCGCAAGCATTTTTGAGACCATGGCATACACTAATTTTCAATAAAACACGTCTCTCGTTGTTGAAACCCGTTTCCTTCAATAAGTCAATAAACGACTGCAGAGATTCGAATCGATCCACTTCAATTTTTTACATTCTCCGAGTGTTTTTATGAATTGTTCTGCAGTAAACTTATTGCTATCATAGTCATATGTGATAATGATCAGATGCTCCACTGTGCTTGCGAAACTTGCAATGGTGTCACAAATATTACCAAGTCCATTATACGAATTATTTTTCAAACTCAAACTTTTGAGCTTGGGACACTTTGGCAAGTCTGTGCTAATATTGCAATTATAAAGTTCTAATTTTACCAACTCTGGGTATACAATTTCTTGTTCTTGAATTTCTGGGTCATATGTACAATTCTGAAGACTAAGGACGCGAAGTTTTTTCAAATTAGATAGAATTTGGGAAATATCTCGCAAGTCCCTTTTGGACCGACGAACTGTTAATTTTTCCAAGTTAATTAATTTTCGTATATTCTGAGCTGAAAATTTAGAGAGCATAAGTAAAATTTTTGCTGTTTCTGTTAAAAGACTTACTCTGATAGTTTGAAATTAAATTTACAGTCAATACTTTACAGTCTGGATTTATGTACTGAAGGAGATCCGATTCTGGACTCGTAATGTAGAAATTTAACTCAATAGTTTTGAGTCCCTTCATGGGCAGCAAATATTTACATGCATTGAAATTTACATTCTTAATATCAACTTTGGCCGATTGCAGGTTAACACAGTGCTTCGCTATTAGCTTGAAAATTACATTCATTGCATAAGCATATCCGTCGAAGTTAAATCCTATTTCCAAGTCGACAACAGTGGAGCCGCACAATTCCAGAATAACTTTTAAATTGCTTTCAGCTGTATAAGTCGTATAAGTATGAGAGCAGTGAAGTCGCTCATATGTACCCCGAGCGTGATAAGCAAATGCGAATCCAAGTTGTTGGTTGACTTGGGCCAATTTCAGTTGGTCTGTCTCTTCCAGGTATCCAAATACTTTATCGATTATCTCCATAGGTAATTTTGCAAGCATTTTGATGTAGAGATATGAACACGTTCCACCAGAGACAAACCGGAAACAGGAAAGAGCATTTTTGTACATATCCATCAGCGATGGGTCTTAGTTGGGTGATGCGATGAATTTTACCGATTATTTATATCGATTTGAAACTAGAGATGCCTAAATTGCAAATTACTGAAAAGCTGTGTATTTTTTTGTCTTCATTTTTATTTGCCCAATTCTTTAGTAGGTCTAATATTATTATTTTGAACTAATATAATATATAATTATATTATGTGACTACATGTGAGTGAATGGAAGAAATTTTAAAATTAATTTAATGTAAATATTTTCCTGAAATACACATTACACATTCACGCACCGCATACAAGTGTGACGGAATTATAAGATTGGAAATCTTTACACACTTTATTATTAATAGGAAATTGTTTGTCCCCTACAATAATTCTGGTGGCTAACTTCCAGGGTGTCTGCTCGACGAGTCGCTACTGTCTTTGCTTCCCATTTGGTCTTCTTTTTCATTCTCGGCCACTCAGTGGATCTTAATTATGTGCGTTTCCTGATGCCATGACTCCTCCTTCCTTCGTCCATGCTGCATTAATTTTTAGTGCAGAGGCGGGTAGGAGGGTAAAATACAAATATTTTGGTGGCCTGCGTGTGCGGTGGTCTGGTCTCCCTCGCATTTGTTTGCCGAGGTAAATGCAACCAAAGCCCGGGCTGGCGGTGCGTTAAGGCAAATTTGTAGAGCGCAAATTGTTTAGCCAATGCAAAGACTTAACTCCATTCTATAGCAGGGCTGATGGGGTGGTGGGGTGTGTGGGAAAGCCAGGGGGGTGAGCTGCTATTCGCATGTACTCGTACAATACATTGTTTCAACTGCCTGACAATTTCTAATTTATTGCAATTATGTGACGCACGTCACACTGAACTGACCAGCGGACAGAACTGACCATCGGGCCAGCCGTGCCGACACGTGACCAATGTAATGCCACTAGAGGACCCTTTTGGGTTTCCTCTGATTGGAAAACACTAAAACAGATGTGCACTGAGAAAAATATGGCTCTTCAATTAAGAATATATCTTGGAAATTGGGGGGAAATAAATTATAATAAGTGTAAAGAGCAACAATCGAGGAGTAAAAAAATAAAATCAATAAATTATAATAAATTATTCCAAGCTTAGGACTATATTTTCCTGTTAAGAATGTTGTTTTGAGGGCCTTGTTAGTTATATTCTTAGGAAATAGATTTGTTACATTTTTTTATGTTTTTTTTTTTTTAGTGTACCTTTATAGACAGAGCGGATGATGGCCCCTGGGCCTGTCCTGCCTTGACCATTCCATGGAGATTTATTTTACGCTGATAACACGCTTAAGTAAATTCTGTACCCTGCACCCCCTGCCTTATAGAGAGTGTTCGTGTGTGTGTGTGTTTGTGTGCTATCCCCCCAATCCCAATTTAAATGGCGATTAAATCTGCTGGCATTGATGGATGTGTCCAAGGCGTACTGTCTGCAGAGCAGTCTCTGGTCTCTGGTTCGGCCTGTACCAGTGCCAGTGCCTGGTCCTGTGTTCTGCGGTCAGAGTCTGTTCAGGATGCGGCACCGTGTTAACACTTTTGTACAATTGCCAATTTTTCGCCAGCAATCCTTGATGAGCCACCCCTCCCTCTCTCTCTTCTCTATCTGTGTGTGTGTGTGTGTGGGCAATGGCAGTGGGTGGATTCAGGCGGTGGCTTTTGTGGTGTTGTTATGTGGGAGTGGGCAAACGGGAAATGGGGCAGGAGTGGACCTGGCATGCGGCTGATGCACTTCAATATTCATTTGAACGCATAATTGATATTGACGAACAATGTTGCCACTACAACAATGTTGATGGTGAGTCGACGAGGGGGTTGCACGCAGAAATGCACTGCCAGAAATCCAAATTGGGTATCGATTAGGAGGTATTGGTTGTTGTACCTATTGTTGACCGTACATATATACATGTGAACATAGGTTTATTATTTTGTATGTTTTTGTGGTCAAATGTCAATGTTTGAGTGCTAATTATGATATGTTCTCTTGGGCTTCTTGTTATTGGCCTTAACTTTAACTTTCTTTCTTTTTTTTTTGTGCTTTACTTAGAGGTTCTTTGATTTAATTTAATCAACCTCTCTATCCCTTTCACGGTCAATCAGCGGTCAGCTATCCACATAAATTCTTCTAAAACCAACACATATTTTTTTCCTTTTCTTTTTGGTTTTTGCATTTAGTTTCTGTTGGTCCTATACCCGTGCTCTCTTTCAGTGTGGCTTAGCAGCATCTCTTTAGTCTTCGAATTCCTATTCTCATTTTCTTATTTACTGTTACTTTTGGTCCCTCAATGTTTTTGGTTGGTTCTGATTTTTAAAAATTTAATTTTATATATGTATTTCTTTTTATTTCTTCTTTAGATTTCCCCTTATTTTTCTCAGTGTCCATTACTTTGTTCCGTTGGAAAAACTCCTCCTGCTCCCCGTGTGCTGTGCCTACTTGGGGGCAGTTAATTTTTATAAATTTCCATGTCAGGCCCCCAGTGTTCGCTGTGGCATGCAACATGTTTGCCATTTCCATTTGCCCCCTCTAGACACATACATACTATATCAGATATCTCCGACTCAATTTTTGGGGACTGCTGCTGCTGCCTGCCTGCTGCTGAGAGTCGAGTTCTTTCTGCTCGTTTTCTATCTGTCAGTGTCATGTCACGTACGAGCCAAATGCATTCAATATGTCCAGGCCCCGACCCAGACCCAAAACCATTGTTGCTGTTGCTGCCTGCTGCCTGCTGGATGTGGCTCTGGGTCTCCACATGGAAGCTGCAGGAGTGTAAATTTAATTTAGTTAATTGAAACAATTTGTTGCATGCGACAAGCAGCAACAGAAACAGCAACAGAAAACGTCCACCTCCAAGCTGATTTTCCTGCTTTTTAACTGATTTTCGTTTGAGGATTTTCTTTTTACATTTTTTGTTCGCCGAAGGATGGGTGGGATAAATTCCATATGAAATACAATATAAACTCGCACTCCTTGCCCCGCAAACATGTCAATTTGGGTGGCATTCGTGTCGGTTTGCGTCTGGCAGCCCTCACAGCGGGAGATCTCTTTTCAATTTGATTGAAATTGCACTCAATACACTTTTGTATATTGATATATTAATTTGCTCTCCTTGTTTTTGTTTTCGGCCGTCAGTGTTTTTTAAAAAAATACTTTGGTTAATTTGCGAACAAATTGAGACAAAGGCCCTCCGGAACAGTCAATGAATTTAATTAACATGGCTTGGCAGTTCATCGAGAGCGCGAGCGCTTTAAGTATGTAAAGGCTGAAACACATATATAATCGGAAAAATATCCACAAAAGGGGAGAAGAACTCAATGGAAGTTGCTTAAAGCAGTAAGTGTAAAACTGATTTAAAATTGAAGGACAGCCTGAAGTAATGACAATGAAAAGTTGCACCAGAAAAGTGTGTGGAAAATGAAAAAAGGAGTCGCCAAGCAATGCTAAAGAATCGTAGAATCGTAGAACTCGAGCCGAATTTTACTCTGTCATTTTAGTTAGCTAAAATTATTCCCAGCTTCATTGGAATTTCCTCAACCCAAACGATCTCATCAAACAATACAAAATTATCCAGCCCCAAAGTCAATGACCAAATACAATTGCAGCAAAAAACGCATTTGAGCGTTAAAATGCAAATCACAATAAATGGCATTTGCTCAAGACACACACACACACACCCCCCAGTCGCAGGGCCTGCCCACTCCTCCCTGGGCACAAACACTTGATAAATTTGCGTAAAATATATATCTCGTATTTACCTTGCACTTGATGCCAATGCAAACTATAAGATACATGGCCGGGAACAAGGACCTGTTTGGTATTTGGTATTGGTGTGGCGGGGGGAATGCAACTTGGTGCGTGGCTAAATAAACATGGAAATTTTGTGAAAATAGACTCGAGTGTGTGGCCAGGACTTTCCCCCGTTGCACATTTTGTGGCCAGGCAATGGCAGGGTGGCAGGGGGCAGGTGCAGGCATACTGCTGCCTGTCACTTTGAATGACAGCCCAAGTCAAGTGTTGTGTTCGGGCATTGTTCTTGTTCCTGCCTGTGGCCAGCCAGAATGTCGTTATGGAAAATGCATAAAACCAGAGACAATGTTTGTCCTGTCTCTGTCCTGTCCTGTCTGGGCCTACTGTGGGGGAGTTGGGGGTTTACTTGTTTCCTAGGTGCTAAACTTTTATCACACGGCCGGGGGGATGGGCCTCGTTTAATTTCAAATGCAAACCTTTTGGAGCGTTGACTGCGAAATTGTCTTTGGCCCACACCCCACACTCCAAACCCCAGACCCATTCTCATTGCCTTCTCAGGGTGCAATTTCGAGACGCATTACGCATGCATGGCTGCCTAAATAATGTTGATTTAACATTATCACGCGTTGTGCACTGCCCAGGAACCAGCCACCAGCCAGGAGTGTGGCTATGTGTATACGATGGGGCGTCACTTAGGCGTAGGGTCAACATTGTTGTAATCCTTAGCTGTGTGTGTGGCCAAAACAATCGATTGGTTCTGATGGGGCGGCTAATTGGAGGGAAACCATTATCGTGGGCTTGGAATATAAGGTGATTATAGCCAGCCAACGCGGTGGAGAGCTTCAGTTAGCGATAGTAGTTCAAGATATTGGAATGAACGTGAATCTTCCTAGTTTCCTGGTGTATCTTCCACTTGATTTATTTTTAATTAAATATATCTTTAAGTACAAAACATCTAAAGAATTTTCACATATTCAGAGCGTTCCTAAATCGTCTACTATTGTATTTATTCTACGTATTTTTTATTCTTTTACTTTTTCGGTTTTCCGTAACTTTCATTCGTATTCTTTCTTCGGGTTTTGCCCACAAACAAAACCCAGCCTAAGCCTAATCAATGACCACGCCTCTCCCCTTCTCTTACACACACACACCTTAATAAAATCTGAGGGAACAATAGATCAACAAATCCCGAACACTCCTCTCAGCAGTGACAACAACAAATCG